ACGTAGAGAGGAAAGAAGGTGGTAAGGTTTTGGTAGATGGAACACTTGTTTGCTGCTCTCAAAATTGGCAAAGGCAACCCTGGACATTTGCTACCTGAGAAAAATTTACTTTGTTGATTATGGTTAGAAGCCAACTGAGTCTTTGCTCCAATACTTGGCAGCCATATGACCTTGACAAGCAATATGTCAATCTGTAACTTGCAAATAAAACCACTACTGGCCTAGCCTCCCTCAAAAAGGGAAGGTGTGGTGTCTGATGACATCAGAGACATAAAGGCACCACCTATGCTCTAGTCATAACTTTTAAATGATTGGAACTGCCTGGGGGCAGAAATTTCAGAAGGCAAATTGGACCTGTTCCCAGTCCTGGAAAGCAAATTACTTGTACCCCTGAAGGCAAACAGTAAGTCAGAATCCAAATTCTTAATAAGACAGATGACTTCCAAACCTTTTCTCACATCTACATCAGTACAGGTTCTCCAAAGACAGTCTGAAGCTCACTTCATAATTCACAATCTCTACTTTTCTTTTATACGATGCTGGTCAATGCAGCCAATGTAATTTCAAAATCCATAGAGGAAAGAAAAATTAGCACTCCAATTACATCTTACTACACACAAAAACCTTCAAGTCAGGAGTCTTACTCATCTTTTCATCCAGTATGTAACACAGTCAGTACAAAAATAAAAGCTCAATAAAATATTGCTGAATGAGTGACTAAATGAAAATCCGTGTGTGTGTGTGTGTGTGTGTGTGTGTGTGTGTGTGTGTGTGTGGTGTGTGTGTGTCGTGGATGTCAGTGTAATAAGCTACCAAATGTACATCCTGGGAAATTTTTCAAAGTAATTAGACATTTGAGGTCTACCTAGGGCTGAACCTTTACTTCTTATAGCGCTTGTGTGAGCACTTATTACAAATTAATAAAATGTTTTAAATGAATCAAGAATTTTCATTAAGTATAGTTGACACAATTAAAGAGAAAAACAAACATTAATCATACGGCTTACTCCAACAGTTCTTCAGCTTTTCAAGCCTTAATTTCACTTCAACAAATTGTGTCCTTCCTCTATAACAAACATACAGACCTTGGCAGAGGAGCGGGTACCAATCTCGCCATTGCCAGTGGAGCATTACAACCATACCAACTACCCAGCCAGTCAGCTCGGACCTCATGTCCCTCATAAGCTTAAGGGCCTCATTGCCATAGATTTTAACACTTTTTATGAGGAAGTAAATCATGGCAATGCCAGGCCAGATATTCACATGGTACACAAGCTTTACAATGCTCAAACCCAGCATCTGTTCCAAGGAATGCTGCCTTGGATGCAATATGTGAATAGAGATGTAGCCTTCACTGTGTCTGTGTGGAGTACAAATGCCCTTTGACTATGTAGTGGAGGCACTGGCTAAATATATCTGGCCACCTTTGCATTGGAAAACTTCCCCAATGCAAAGTTTTTTTCAGAGTGATGCCTGAACCAGCACCACTGGCTACCATATCACAGCCGTTAAAGAAGGTGTTCGGCTTCCTCCAGCACTTCGTATTGATGAGACTTACATTGCTGAGTGAGAGTAGAAGCCATTCAATGACACTCACCAGTTAAAACCACTTGCCTGCATAGCAACCTGCATGTCCTGAGGTTGCTACCCACCAAGGGTCGAACCATAAGATAGAAAACCAGTCCTGTTCCCCTTAATTTTTAATTACACTTTTTTTACTTTTATTTTTCATTTACTCTTCAATGAATCAATCAAACTGTGTGTTGGTATATTCAATTTGCTCTCTTAGTGTCTGTTTTCTTCTCTGCTATTCCTCTACTGAAAAAGTAAATTCAACAGCTCATTATGTTGCAGAGGGAAGATACCAATTTCCAGCTCTCACTTATGAAATATAACATTGGGTAAGGAGTATTGCTTTTAAGAAAATGTAGGCAGAGAAGAATCAATAGAACATGAATCCTGAATGGGCTAGCTAGCCTCTGGTTGTGTAAATGTAATAGTGTCCCAATCCTCCTGTGCAACACTGAGGACTCAAATGAAATGGAGCTTATTCATTTGTTTTTATGATTGATTTGATGTTCCTAAACTCATTGCTTGATGGTACTGAAAGAGATGTAAGAATGGGATTTCAGGGAGTGTCCTTTATCCCAACAAAAACAATTAGAAACACTTTATGTAAATTTTTATCAAGTTTTCCTTTGCCAGAACCTTCAATCACTCAAGCATTTCCTTTATCACTTTGGGTCAAATCCTTAGTGGGAGTAAATATATGAGACAAAGTCCTTTCTTGCAACTCAAGTGGGGAGAAACAAACATATAAAATAATTAGATCATAGAGAAGGAGTACTTAAATTTAGCTAAGAATTAGTTATGACTTTTCAAAGGCATTCATGTCTGAGAAGTTCAAATCTCCTTATCAGCACCTCACGGAAATGACCTTAGACATGTGGCAGAAAACCTCTGACATCAATTTGATTATTTGTAAATTTGAGATGATTATACCTGCCTGACAAGGTTCATGTCAACAGAAATGATAGATGCTCATCAGAGTGTCACAGGAGTGTTACCATAGTTAATATACTCCTCTGATCTTTGCCCACAATCATCCACACAGAAGCAAGTACTTCAGAAAGTGTAGCACCTGTTCATACAGCTTCAAGCATTTGAAGAAATGAACGTATTAGCACAGTACCTAAAATTCAATATCTTGAAAAATTTAATTGCTTCTTATTTTTGTTCTAGCCTTGTGCATTTTTTTTTTTTGAAGAAATGAACCATGTTTTGTTGAGGGCAATGCTATCATATTCATCTACACAAACCCAGTCAATATGCATTGATTTGTGCTCTAACATTCATAAAACAATGGCTCAGTTTAAAAGTAATCTCTGTATTTGGGTCTATTTTATGCCACAAATGAACAACTAATAGAACTCTAGTTAATAATGGCCACATCCGAGAGAACACTAATGCAACAGCCTGACTGCAAGGAGCCTTGGAAGAAACATAATTCATGTTATATTCTCATAGCAATTTACTTTTCCCCTTACATTTTTCTGGAACCCACTGTGTATAGACTGATAAACTGGGTAATATTGGGAGATGCAAAGTATCCTTAAATAAATTCAAACAAAAACAATCACAAACTTTGATATCGCTCCCTTCCAGGGGTGAGATCTGTAACACCACTTCCTGGATAGGGGCAAGCCTGTCACTGCTTTGATCAAAGAAGTAACATTCTGTGATCTCTGAGGCTAGGTCACCAAAAGCCATGCAGTTCCGCCTGGCTCTCTCAGAATCCTTCCTGATGCTCTCCCTTGGAGCGCTCCCACTGAGAGCCCAGCCGCCTCACCACAGAGGCACCTCCACATGGAGAGGCCATGTGGATGTGCTCCTGTCAACAGCTCCAGCGGAGCCCAGCCTTTGCATCATCCTGGCCCACGTATCTGACATACAAATAAAGAAGTTTCCAAATAATTCCAGCCCCCGATCATCTGAGCCATTGCTCAGCCATTTAAGTCTTTCCAGCTGAAGCTCCAGAATTCGAAAGAAAAAAACATCCCACATACCCTGTCTGAATTCCTAACCCATGTTTGTTGTTGTACTGCATGTTGAGAAGCTTTCTTTTGCAACAATAACTGGAAACGGTGGCCCATAAATGCCATAAATGGCAGCGATTAAAATATCTAACATTTAGGCAACCTAAAGAGATATGTGTTTTCATGCTTGAAGCTATAGAGAGCTTGTCTGAATAAAAAGGGAGGTTTCTGGAGATCAAGGTTGATCTCAATACCAATAAAAGTTTTTAATGAGATGCTGGAACAACTCATTTCCATACACACACACACACACACACACACACACACACACATACCTTTGGATGCACACATAGTATTTTAACTACATTTGCTAATTTACCAGTCAAGTCAGAAAGACAAAAAATAAAAAATCAACATTTTTTGACTGTCTTGTCTTTGCCAGTTCAGTCCCATCATCTAGATATGAGAGATAAATTGGAAAGCAAAATGCACTTGAGTGGCATATGTCTAGTAACTATAATGTCAACCCTGCTATTATAAAATTACTTAAGAAATAATATCGCCCTAACCGGTTTGGCTCAGTGGATAGAGCGTCGGCCTGTGGACTGAAGGGTCCCAGGTTCAATTCCGGTCAGGGGCATGTACCTTGGTTGTGGGCACATCCCCAGTAGGGGGTGTGCAGGAGGCAGCTGATCTATGTTTCTCTCTCATCAATGTTTCTTACTCTCTATCCCTCTCCTTTCCTTTCTGTAAAAAAACAATAAAATATATTTTTAAAAAAAGAAAAAGAAATAATATCATGGGTTCTTCTCAGTGTTGTACAGGCAAATGCAAACTCTAAATTTTAAAATTTCAGATCTTAATACATATAAAGGACAAAGACCACAAAAATGTAAACTAACTAATATTCATAACTGCAAAAATCTCAGTCTTTTTTAATGAATAAAATACCTTTTCATTGTTAAAACTTTCCCATAGCCTCAGTTTAACTCAACATTTTTTTTCCTAAAAGACTTTTCATTACTAATTAACTTCCATAAAAGCAGAAGACATCTCCTTGTGCACTGAAGGTTGTAATTTTCCAAAGCTTTGACTTTTGTTTAATACCCCGTAAAGAACATTGTGTATTTTTGCTGAATTTCAAAATGCTACCATTCTATGAGGGAAAGAACTAAGTGCTAAGTGAAATGTGAAACCAAAGTCTTCCTTGGAAACATGCTCCTCTAAGAAAAAAATTAGAATGTGCCAAATATATCCCTACAAATAAAGAAAGGGCATTCTTCCTGATATCTACTCCAAGAATAACCTCCCTGGGGAGAATTTTGAAAAGATTTGAGCATTTTAAATGCCCTGAACTAAATTAGTTCATTAAAAATATGGGTGAGCAAAGTCCACTGAGGTTAAAGGGAGAAGAATAGTCAGCAATCATTTATAATAGTGCCCTGTTCAAGAATTTCAAGATACCTGATTAACAGTGGCAATTCTCATTTAGATTCATTATCTGATGGAGCAAAGTTGTTATTGATCCAGCAGTTGACCTCACTGCAGGCTTGGGGTGTGACAATAATAATTTCTCCATATACGGTGCCTGCAGTCATTGACAGGTTGAACAATGATTAGATGAAACAGATGATTAAAGAGCCAATTCCCAAAAACTCTCATTCTATTTCTATTGATGTTTCAGACTTCCCGCATGCTTCATTTCTTACCTTCTTATCCTTCCTTCTTTATTTCTTCCTTTCCTCTCTTAAAATGATTTATTAAGTTTCTGAAAAGGAACTTTAGTAGAGTTAAAATGGTCATCAAAATGGCTTGAAATCTTTTCCTCTACCCACATAGATTCAGTGACTGGGGGAATGCAAATTTAACTGGAAATGACCCGTCAGCAGGAAAAAAGAATACAAGTGTATTAACAGTTTGCATGCACAGAAGTTCACAGAAAAAAACAAAGTGAAACTCAAGCAGATAGACCCACAGGCTTATATTTACCATTTTAACAGAGGGAAGTAGGTTGGACTTTGAGGAACAATAAATTGTAGAAAGGTGACTAGGAAATATGGGGGAAACTAATGGAGGAAAAGGGTTATTTTAGTAAGGTTTGGTAGTGCAGACTCAGTGCAGAGTATACTGATAAGCGTTGCTCTTCCATTCCTGGTACAGGGCAGGAGAGGGCAAAACACTCTTCTTATATCTTTTGGTTCTCATTTGCCTTCCACTTAAAATAATCCTTGTGCCAAAATGGCATATTTGGGGTTGAAAAAATCTGGACCCCTTCAAAATTCTTACTTTCACTTCAACATACATATCTTAATAATAGTGACTAAGAATGTCTCCTATATCCACTATATAAAATGGCAATTTAACACAAGGGGGGGAAACTTGACCAAATGGTTGGTTTAAAAGACTATAATTTTCATGAATAATGGAATGTAGACAGGAAATCAATGCTTTCAGAACTTTTTCTACTAAAAATTCATGAAATGTCTGAGAGCAATAGGCTTGAGCTACATCAACACAAAGCTGAAACATTTGGAGGAGAAGAACAAAATGCAAGCAATTATCCAGATACCTTGTCTACACAAAATTCAGCCATCCAGATGTTTGCTTTTCCTAGACCAAACATCTAAATGATTGATGGAATTCCCCTCATTTATGCTTGTGTATGTGAACATCCCTTACCTACTCTTATTTTAACAATGAGCACATCCCCTGAAGTGGGACACTAATCTGTCTCTTCTACCCCACTCTTTTTCTTCTTTTAATTCATGTGTATTTTTGTAAAGAACCAGTTAAAGAAAAAAAAGTAAATTGTATCTTCTTATTTTGGAGTACAGTAACTATAGAACAATGGCTGCGTGGTTTGAATTTTCCTTGCAGCATCTAGCACACCAGGTGTAGTCAATAAACATTAAGCCATCAAATAAATCAGAATTCCAAGCTGTGGCCGGCATTGAAGAATATGTTATAGTTAGTTGCTTTTGCAGTGGGGTGAATTTTTAAAAAAAAAAAGTCAATTGATTTGCTTTTCTCAAACCTTAATGTGCATACAAATCTCCTGGGGATGTTGTTAAAATGCAGATTCTGATTCAATAGGTCTGGGTTGAGGCATTAGACATTGCGTTTCCATCAAACTCCCAAGTTACACTGATGTTGCTGGTCCAAGCTGAGTGGCAGGCAGGTTTATTATTGCCAAGGAAAAAAGACTAAATCTGCCCCTTCACCAAATCTAAAGACTGTCCATTGTAAATAATAGTCCAAATATATTTAACTAGAGTCCCAGTGCATGAATTCATACATGAGTGGGGTCCCTCAGGGTGCCCTGTGGGGATTGGGCCCCCGCTCTCATCCACCTTGGCCTGGCGCCACCCACTCACCTGCTCCACCATCCCGCCGCAGTCCCGCTCTAGTCGGGGCCCATCGGGGCCAGCAGTGCCTCCACTGCCACCCGCTGCCAGCGCTGCTTTGCCGATGCCCACCATGTTCCGTGCCACGCCCTGGTGGTCAGCGCATGTCATAGCAAGCAGTCAAACTCTCACTCTCCCAGTTGAACTCCTGGTCGAATGACCACCTGAGGGGACAATTTGCATATTAGGCTTTTATTATATAAGATTATTAAAGGACATTTTTTAAAATATGTTTTATTGATGTTTTTCCAGAGAGGAAGGGAGAAGGATAGAGAGAAACATCAATGAGAAAGAAGTATCAATCAGCTGCCTCCTGCACACTCCCTACTGGGTATGTGCCTGAAACCAAGGTACATGCCCTTGGCCGGAATCGAACCTGGGATCCTTGAGTCTGCAGGCCAATGCTCTATCCACTGAGCCAAACCGGTTAGGGCTTAAAGGACATTTTTAATAAAACATCACTTTTTTTAAGTCTGGAATTTTTTTAATAAATCTAAACCATCAAGAAACTCTCAAAATAGATTCTGTAATCCAAAATTAAAAGGGCTAATTCCCTGAGGAAAAAAAAATGGTTTACAAAATACTAATCAGATAAGAGTTAATTGGAGGAAATAGCCAAAATAATAAGAATAATTTTAAAACTAGAAGTAAAAATATAAACCAACAGTTACTTTAGTACAGGTCTTGAAATTACCTCCCCTACCCCACCCACAAAAAACAAACAAAACAAAACAAACAAACAAACAAAAACAAACCTCAGTCTTTTAGGCCTACTTATAATAAGAAAAATGGAATTATAAAATAGTTACAAGTCTAAAATAATAAACATCATAAACGCATTCATGATTTCAATGGATTAACAGACTGAATGGCAAATTTTGAGAAAATCTTTATGATTCCAAATTATATAAAGTGATTTCTTAAATTGTTCCCTTTACCATTCTACCACAATCATCAGGTAGTGTTTCAGACAGAAAAATATATATATTCATTTAATCAGCATTTGACTCAATCACTTTGGGAAAACACTGTGCTTGGCACTCTCCAGAGTTGCAGTGCTGATCTGACCTGGATTCTATGATGGGCCTTGTAGTGTAATAGGGAGGAAATATGCAAGCATAAATAACTACAATATAAATTTAAAGTGTAATTGACAAAGCCCTTGGAACTAGGAGGCAAAACTGTGAATCAAATCCAGCTGGTTGGAATGCCATTTTCAAATCAGCTTCTGATTTATTCAATCCTGAAATTAAAACAATTACTTACTTGGCTATATCTTCACAAAGAAGAAAAGAAATTCTATATTTGCATGCTTCTTTTAGAGCATCACTTTGTCATGCAGGGAATACTGATTTTGTGTACATGCTAATGTAAATCAGATGTCAGTTGGGTATCCCTCATCTCTTTGGAGATCTCAGAATAACTGTCTTTAGCTCTCAGCAACTCCATGACCTAATAGAAGGCCAAAGTATGGCTCTAAAGTTTCTGCAAATTTCTATGGTTCAATTTCTCATGGCCTCCTTTGCCTTCTGGGCTTATGGTTTCTCTGTAACACACTACATTAACCTCGTCACAAATGAGGCTCAGCTTACCCAAAACAGGTATACTTTCCCAAGTTCTTAAAAAATTTTGAAAATTTTTATGAGGAAATGGGAAGAAATTACTTCAGAGCAAAGCAAACAATACTTGCAATTAAACTATTGTGTTTTTTAAATATTTGTTGTTTCTCCAACCTGTGAACTTTCACTGGCCCCCATCTTCTAACCATCTTTTGGCTCTTCACCCTTACTCCTCCTCCCTTCTCTTTCCTCTTTCCATCTTCTCACCACCTCTCTACTGGGTATGTGACCACAAAATTCTTTCCTCTATGCTCATAAAAAAGTAACTTTCCTCTTGCCCTAACTTCTTGGTATCACCTAATATCCTTAACTATGATATACCAGAAGAGCTTGGAATGTGTGTATGTGGGGGGGTGGGGGGGAGACTCTATTCCAATCTTTACCTATGAAGATAGAGCATGCTTTCAAGGGAATCCAGGTGAAAATAACATTCTGTGCCTCATTAAGCAATTAAATAGCTCAATTAGAAGGTACTTGCATTTGCTCAAAAAGAAATGATGGCAACTTGGACTAGGGTGGTGGCAGTGAAAATAGGGGGAAAAAATGGACCAATACAAGAGATCATTAGGAGTTAGAAGCCACAGGTATTGGCGCTTGATTGAGCAGGTGGGGATGGAAAGGAACAATCAAATTCAACCCCTATTTCTCTGGCTTAGGCAGCTGGAGAGTTGGTGGTCCCATTTATAAAGATAGCGAGTCTTAGGAGGGAGCAAGTTCAGGAGCATGATGAGATTGGCTTTGGAAATTTTGAACATAAAGTGCCCATGAAACAACTTCTGGGAGATGCCTCCTAGACAGTCGCATGTGTGAATTTGGCACTCAGAGGGACAGTGACAGTGAATACAGGCTCAGGCTTTGGATTCAGAAATATCTGGCTCCAAGTCCTAGCTCTGCTATTTAAGAGGTGTGTCCCTTGGGCAAGCTACTGAAACTCTCCATGCCTCAGTTTCTTCATCTGTACAAGGATTACTATTATACTTCTACTAGAGGTGCATAAAATTCATGCACTCAGGGGATCCCTCAGCCAGGTGCACCCTCTTGCAGTCCAGGAGCCCTCGGGGGATGTCCGACTGACAGCTTATATACCAGAGATAACATATATGAAGCTTTCAGTTCAGCTTAATAAAAATAAGTAATTCAAAAGCTGTCAGTCGGACATCCTTAGCTCTGCTGTGGAGGCGGGAGAGGCTTCCGCCACCGCCGCTGTGCTTGCCACCCATAAGCCCAGCTTCTAGCTGAGCAGTGCTCCCCCTGTGGGAGAGCACTGACCACCAGAGGGCAGCTCCTGCATTGAGCGTCTATCCCCTGGTGGTCAGTGAGCATCATAGCAACCAGTCATTCTGCTGTTGGGCTGAAACTGGCTCTCCAACATCCCCCAAGGGGTCCCAGATTGCAAGAGGATGCAGGCCAGGCTGAGGGACCCCACCAGTGCATGATTGGGGTCGGGGAAGGACGCAGGAGGTTGGCCAGCCAGGAAGGGACTGCAGGAGGGCTCCAGGGTGTGTCCGGCCCGTCTCACTCAGTCCCGATCGGCTGGACCCCAGCAGCAAACTAACCTACCGGTCAGAGCGTCTGCCCCCTGGTGGTCAGTGCACATCATAGCGAGTGGTTGAGTGGCCTTAGCATTCATTAGCATATTACTCTTTGATTGGTTGAATATGCTAAGTGTCTGGCCAGCCAGACAACCATACACTTAGCATATTAGGCTTTTATTATATAGGATTTTGTGAAGCTATCTCAGAATACCAGAGATAACATATATGAAGCTCTCAGTGCAGCTTAATAAAAATAAGTAATTCAAAAATATTTATTCAGTACCTCCTATGTACCAGATACTGCTCTATAAATATATATGCACTCATTTAATCTTCACAATCTTATATCATTGATACTATTATCTCCATGTTAAAGACGAGGAAACAAATGCAGAGAAACTCACAAAGCAGGAAATGACTGATCTGAATCCCAGCAGTTTGGCTCCAGACTCTACATGCTTAACCACAGCACTGAAATTTCTCTTAATGATGTTAGCTAAAATCCTAATTACAACTTTGGAAGTCACCAGAACATAATGTGTGAGCATGTGGGTAATTAAATATTGATTATATTAATCACTTAATTTTATTGAGTGCTTATTCTTTTAAGACATATTAAGTGTTTTATATAGATATCTCCTTAAATTTCCTCAATGTTCTATGAAGTAGATATTATTTCTCTCATTTTGAAGATGAGAAAACTGAGACAGGAAGAGGTTACTGGAGAGTAGCCTGCCCAATGTCACAGAGATATAAAGTAATGGGGTCAGACACAAACTCAGACAACTTAACTCTCACATCTTAAAATTGATGAAATATTGAAGTGGCTAAGGATATGTAGAGATGAGACAAAAGCAAAAGAAAGAGGTATGAGAAATGCATCATTCCATTATCCTTTTAAGAAATCTTTTTTAAATATAAGCAATCACCTTTCATTCATAGCCAAAGGGGACTGGTAAATATCATCCACCCAGCACATTGCCTGTCCCTGGCCTGAAGCACCTGGTCACTATCATCACACATGCATTTGTCCCAGCAGATGTAAACCCTGCCATGGCAGGAACCCCTCCCTCATCACTAATTCCCCTCTAACATCCAGTGTCTTTTATAGGACCTTTTAAATGTTTGCTGAATTAAATTGACAAAAAGTGTTAAGAAGATGGAAAGCAGGGAAAAGAGGCACAGAAAAAAAGGCAGGAGAAGGAGAAAGGAAGAAGCGGTTAAGAGAAAGCTTCATGCCCTGTCTTCCCAGTCTGAACAGGGGAAAATCTAGAGTAAACGAGGATGAGAAGTGACATTTCCAGATCATTCTGCCACCTGGTAGGTATGGCAAATCAGGAAGGTCTTCAAAGAGGAGGTGATAAAGCAGCAAAGTCTGGAAGAAAGAAAAAGAGCTGGGGCTGGAAGGAAGGAGGGGACTCCAAGGCATATTTGAGAAGCCACTCTTTATTTCTTAATAAATGGAATAGTACGGCTAAAAACTCAACAGGGCCTATGATGAAGAATTGTGTGTGCCATCCAAAGGCTTCTAGGCTTTAGCCTGTACAGTAAAGGGTCTCAAACTCAAAAGCTTAAAGAAGCCAGGGAGGTAAAATCAATAAAAGATTACGGGGCTTCTGTGAGGTTCGAGAGCACTTGCCCTGTCTATAGAAACAGCCTCCACTCAGCTTCAGCTTTCTGGTGCCATTCTGGAATGCAGACCCACTGTGGCCAGATCTTCAATTCTCCAAGAGAAGCCAGAAATCTACATTTTTGTGTAAAACAGCCCTAGTTTTAGTACTGGCAACCTCCTCACAGACAGAGGAGAATCATTCAATGTCTTTAAGTGAAGAAGGAAGAGCGTCAAATTTTCATTTCATAAAGACTACTTGTGCATCCATAGGAGAGTTGACTGTAAAGACCTACTACTAGCCACCTACTAGTAGTAGCCAGCACTAGTCTATTTGTCTGATGGGCCTCAAAAAGCCTAACCTAATGATACTGTTGGAGAAAAAAATAGTTTATATGTAAGAAGTATTTAGGCAGTAGAAGGACTAGACTTGTAAACTGAATGGAAGTAGGGAATAATAATAAGAGAGAACGGTGTTGAATGGAAAAGCTGAGTCCACTCTTAGACATATTAATTGTGAAATTCTTATGAAATATCCAACAGGTAATAAGTACCACTATCAACATAAAATTACAAAAATCATGTAGCAACTTGAAAAAGTTAGCATGCAGTGATATCAAGTGAGACAATGACTACAAATATATATTTGTGCCATGATTACAAAAATATCCAATGATATACAAATTATATTTGCATACAAAGGCTGAGTATAACTTTGAAAAATAAAAAATGGTTTAATCTGTTGAAATGACAGGGTTTTAATAAAGTTTTCCTTTTCCTTTATTTTATCATGACCTTGTAAAAACTGTTTTGTGTTGCAAATAATAAAAATATGGCCAATAGTTTCTGTGGGAGTTAAGACAAGTTTGTCATAAACTAAAGAATGTAGGGAAGGCTTGCTGGAGGAGGTGAGGTTTAACCAAGGCCCCGAAGGAGTGGAAAGTAATTGTTGCCTCAAGATGAATGTTTCCCTTGCTTATGCATGAGAAGCTGAACTACTTCCACGAAAAAAGACACAATTCTACTCTATAAAATGGCAAAGGGTGAACAAACTATTTGCAACCTTGAAACTGATCTGATTTGTATCTAAAAATCCACTCTGATTTTTCTAAAGATAAACCCATAGTTTTTATTTAAAAGATGGCTTGATAGAATAGAATTTTCAGGACCCTAGAAATCAGAACAACTGGAGAAAGCATAGGTTCAGCCATTAATTAATTAGCTGTTGATGCTATCAAGTCACTCTTTCTCTCTGGGCCTCCATTTTTCTTTTGTAAAGTGGGCCAGTTGAGTTAGTTGATCTCTTAAGTTTCTATCTAATAATAAAATGTATTTTTCTCTGTTAAGTGTATATTATTCAGCCTGGCCAGTGTTGCTCAGTGGTTGAGCATCAACCTATGAAGCAGGTGGTCACTGTTCAATTCCTAGCCAGGGTACACACTGGAATTGTGGGGAATACAGAAAGTAGTCAATCAATGGTTCTCTCTCATCATTGACATTTCTATCTCTCTCTCTCCCTCTCTCTTCCTCTCTAATATCAATTAAAATATATATTTTAAAGAGTATATTATTTAGATTCTTCACATATAGCTTACAGCTTATGAAATTATTGACACACCCTGTTTTGGTTTTCATTGTATCCTTGATTAAATGAATATATATATATATATTTTAATATATTTTATTGATTTTTTACAGAGAGGAAGGGAGAGGGCTAGACAGTTAGAAACATTGATGAGAGCAAAACATCGATCAGCTGCCTCCTGCATATCTCCTACTGGGGATATGCCCACAACCAAGGTACATGCCCTTGACCGGAATCGAACCTGAGACCCTTCAGTCTGCAGGCCGACACTCTATCCTCTGAGCCAAACTGGTTAGGGCTAAATGAGTATATTTTTAAGATCATCCATGCCTTTCTACCAAATGGGTTCATCACTCAGGAGCAGCCAACCTAAAAGAACAGTGGAATGATCTATTAAAGGCTCAGCTAAAGTGCTGGCTGAAGAACAACACACTAAGGATTTGTGTGTCCAGGATGCAGTATATGTGCCACACCAATAATTAACACATGGTACTATGTCTCTAATAACTTGAATACAAAGGTACAAGAACAAAGATATACAAACAGAAGTGTCCCCTCTCACCATCATACTCAATCATTCACTTGTGGTATTTGTGCTTCCTTTCCCAAAACCCTAGGCTCTGTTGGGTTACAGGTCCCAATTCCCAGAGGAGAGGAACACTTTTACCAGAGAGAGAATGGTGACTTCATTGAACTAGAAGCCATATCTACAAATAGTATAGTTTGACCTCTTCATGACAGTGGCAGTCAAAGAAAAGTTACTATGTTGGCTGAGATAATCAACCTTGATTATTGTAAGAAGTTAGGTTGCTTCTCAGAATGTGGTCAGAGGAACATGCCTATGAATACAGGATATTCACTATGTTATGTCTTAGTATTTCCATGCCCAGTAATAACTGTCATTGGCCAACTGTTATAACCACAATCCAATAATATCCAGGAACCAAAAGGCTTAGAATCCTCAGAATGAAAATCTAGGCAAGTGGATCATGGGAAGTGCTGGCAGAGGGTGAGGGAAATCGACAATGAATGGTGGAGGACAGAGATGATAAATATCCCTGACAGCCTCAGGACCAGCTGTAGCAGCAAGGATTGTAGTTGCTTTTCACTGACACTCTTGCCCTGTCTCTTCTAGAAAAATGCAACTTCAAGGTGATTCTAACTGGTTGGACTTTTACTTCTGCTTTCCAGGAAGATGTAATATCCTCTTGTTCTAACAACAACAACCAAAAATGTTCTCATATTTTAGTTGCAAACCAGATATAATTGGAGGGCATAAATGGATCTTAATATGCAAGGGGGAGATTGTAAGACATCTTTTTGTAACTTTTCAGATTGTTTTGGCATCACAGACTCTGCCACTACAACCAGCCCCATGAATTTTTGCTACCTGCAGCCAACCAGCCATACTTGAGTCTCTGTCTTCTCCTCACACTTTCTGACTCAGATTTAGATGAAATAAAACATCAAGGACATTGGTTTTGGCTTCTGAGAAGTTGCTGAAGATGCTGGATAGTACAAACCGATAGTGCTGAGGGACAAACTTTGACCAGTGAGCGGTAAGAGATGGGAGAGAGCTTGGCAGATGAATTCCCTTCCCCTGACTCACTCCAGTGGAAAATTCTGAATCATGATTACACCAAGCAGCCTGGCCAACTGGGTTGACCTGCTAAGTGACCTCTTATCTTTTTCAGCTTCTTGTGAAGTAACAGCCAGGACATTACCTTGCGTTGCATTGCATACCATCCTTCTCTGCCCCATTTCCCTTTTCTCTCACTCTTGCTGTCCTGGACTTATATCTCAGATAAAGCATCAGTACTTAGTCCTTGCCTCAGAATCTATTTTCTAGGAAACTCAACTTAAACAACTACATTATCCAGATTGTTTTCAAGTTAAATGTGACCATGGCACTGAATTCCAACCAATGGAATGATACATTTTTCCAATATCCAGTTAATAGGTCCTCTTTAAAAGTCATTCTCGTTGCATCACCCTTCAACTCCTCTCCTCACACCTCCAGGAAAAAAAAAAAGCCAAATGATCCAAACTAGCAGATGTTCATCTACGTAAACATCTTGTGCTGGTTTTACTAGCAAAGACTACATTCCTAGGAATGCAAGAAAAACTAAGCCAGATGCAACCATTGAAACTAACAGACTTTATTTCTATCCTACATGTTACCCACGAATGAGAACAATTATTCTCTAAAAAGTAGAAAAGTCCCCATGGGAGGAATACTTCATTTTTTTATATTATAGTAGATGGCGCCCTCTAATCTTAACAACTCAGGAGGACACTATTGTGCATTACCATGTCTCCCATTTGCAATCACTGCTCAATCTCTTATACAAACAACTCAAATATTTCCACCCAATTCATTCTCTTTCTCCCTCCTGGTACCCACATAATCACTCCCTAAAGGTAAGGCAGTGATAGAGTGGAAATAGTAAAGTTCCTGCCTTTCTCTCCCGGCACTGTATTCAGTAAGAAAGGAACAGATGCTGGGTCAGTCATGTGCTGAGAATAGATAACAGCAACAGCAGAGAGGCTGCTAAGAGAGACACAATCCAAACCAATGCCCAGGGAGGAAGTGAGTCAGGAACGCTGGTTGGAGTCAACACCTGTGGCTTCTTGCAGGGGGAAGAAATAGTCCCTAGCAAAATCTTGGCCTCATTAATGGGACTTCTTAGATGGAGAAAAAAAATGTTACGTTGTCTTTATTTGTATACTCAACAGATATTTACTGAGAACTTATGTACACCAGGTGCAGTCACTAGAAACACTGCAGTGTGCAAGATGATTACATACCCGTTCTGATGGAGCTTGTGGTCTAGTCTAGAAACTCAGATTAGGCTTTCAGCAAGTCAAAGGTTTCAGCGGATTCATTCCCACCTGCTTTCCTGAGAAAAATGAATTGCAAGAGAAGTGATTTTTAGTATTTTACACATCACTTATAAAACTTCTAAAGGGTCCTCTCATGGCTTAAGATATAAATCTCAAGACTCTGGCTTCTGAGCTAAAAATCAGAACATGAGTTCTGATAAACAGTCATTCCTACCATCTATCTAGGTTCTTTTCTCTCCTAAGATCTTTAAATACATTATTTACTAGTAATTCGCTTCCATAAGTTAAGTATTAGAGCCTCAGAGAGGTTAAATAAAGTCACATACCTCTTCTTCCACTATTTATTTATTTATTTATTTATTTATCAGTCATCCACAAATATACATATTTCTTTGGCACCCACTGAATAGGCTGGGGCATAACTATTAAGTATTCCCACATTTATCAAATATCCACTAAATTTTTTGTTCATGCACTATAAATCTGTGTGTGTGTGTGTGTGTGTGTGTGTGTGTGTGTGTGTGTTGTGTATTGTTTTAGGCTTGGAAGAGAAAAAATGAACAAGAGATTCTCCCACTCACTCAAGAAAAGGCACCTGCTCTCATAGAGTTTGCCTCCTGGAAGGTGAAAAAAGGTTAAAAAACGTTTTAATGAGTAAAATAATGCTTATTAGATAGTGAAAGATACAAAAGGAAAAAAATAAAGCAGGGGAGGGGGAAAGGAAATATCCAGGTGGAAGGTACAATTTTAGATAGGGAAGCCTAAAAAGGACTGACTGAGAAATGACAGGTGAGTAAACACCTGAGAAGGTGAGGAGGTGAGCCATGTGCATATCCAGGAGGAAAGCAGACCATGTGAGGTTGCATAAGTGCAAAAATTCTGTGTTAAGAGCATGCTGGCCTGTCTGACTTACAGCAATGAGGCCAGTGGGTTGCAGTGCAAGAAACCAGGGGGAGAGTAGTAAGAAAAAAGATCAAAAAAAGGAAAGATGAAAAATCATGTAAAAACTTTGGCTTTACTCAGTCATTGTAAGAATTCTGGCTTTTATTCAAAGTACAATGGAAAACTATAGGAGAATGCTGAGGGTTGGAAAGATATTCTCTGGCTTATATTTTAACACACTCACTCTGAGAATAGAATAAAGAGTTAAAGGCAGAAGCAATGAGACCAGGATGCTCTTAACAGTGATCCAAGGGAGAGCTATCTGTGGCTTAAACCAGAGCGGTAGTGGTGGAGGTGCTGAGACATAGCCAGGTTCTCCATATATTGTGAACATGGAGCCAACAAGATTTTCTGACAGATAAAGATGGATTGTGAGACATGGAAGGAAGTCAGAGATGACCTCAACGTTTTTGAACTGTTCAGTGGGAAGAACTGACTGTCATTTACTGACATGAGAAGACAACAGGACAGAATCCCTAACCTCAGAATCCATGAAGACTATAAACTATAGCTCATGCTAGTTCCACATGAACTGTAATCTAAAAGCACAATTTATATTAAAAAAAAAATAACAACAAGGAAAAAGCAAGCAAAGGAAAACCAAATAAGGAGGGAGGAATACTTATTTTCATTAGTAAAAAAGTATATCGGATTCTCACAGCCAGCTGGCCTGGAGGTCAAATCCCCCTAGTATTAACTACAACAATCAAGGCTCAACTACAGGAGGACTGCACACAAAGACCACTAGGGGGTGCACCAAGAAAGCATAAAAAATGCGGAGACAAAGAAACAGGACAAAACTGTCAATGGAGGATATTCAGTTCAGAACCACACTTTTAAGGTCTCTCAAGAACTGTCTAGAAGCCGCTGATAAACTTAATGAGATCCTCAACAAATCTAATGAGACCCTCGATGTTATGATAAAGAACCAACTAGAAATTAAACATACACGGACTGAAATAACGAATATTATACAGACTCCCAACAGCAGACCAGAGGACCGCAAGAATCAAGGCAAAGATTTGAAATGCGAAGAAGCTAAAAACACCCAACCAGAAAAGCAAAATGAAAAAAGAATCCGAAAATATGAAGACAGTGTAAGGAGCCTCTGGGACAGCTTCAAGCGTACCAACATCAGAATTATAGGGGTGCCAGAAGATGAGAGAGAGCAAGATATTGAAAACCTATTTGAAGAAATAATGACAGAAAACTTTCCCTACCTGGTGAAAGAAATAGACTTACAAGTCCAGGAAGCACGGAGAACCCCAAACAAAAGGAATCCAAAGAGGACCACACCAAGACACATCATAATTAAAATGCCAAGAGCAAAAGACAAAGAGAGAATCTTAAAAGCAGCAAGAGAAAGAAACTCAGTTACCTACAAGGGAATACCCATACGACTGTCAGCTGATTTCTCAACAGAAACTTTGCAGGCCAGAAGGGAGTGGCAAGAAATATTCAAAGTGATGAAAAGCAAGAACCTACAACCAAGATTACTTTATCCAGCAAAGCTATCATTCAGAACTGAAGGTCAGATAAAGAGCTTCACAGATAAGGAAAAGCTAAAGGAGTTCATCACCACCAAACCAGTATTATATGAAATGCTGAAAGGTATCCTTTAAGAAGAGGAAGAAGAAGAAAAAGGTAAAGATACAAATTATGAACAACAAACATGCATCTATCAACAAGTGAATCTAAGAATCAAGTGAATAAATAATCTGGTGATCATAATAGAATCAGGGACATAGAAAGGGAATGGACTGACTATTCTTGGGGGGGAAAGGGGTGTGGGAGATTTGGGAAGAGACTGGACAAAAATCGTGCACCTATGGATGAGGACAGTGGGTGGGGAATGAGGGCGGATGGTGGGGCGGGAGATGGGAGGAGGGGAGTTATGGGGGGAATAAAGAGGAACAAATGTAATAATCTGAACAATAAAGATTTAATTAAGAAAAAAAAATAAAAAAATAAAGCAACCGAGAACTTATCAAAGGTTTTGGGATACTTCTTCTAAAGCAGCTTTAGCAGGATAGCTAAAATAGTGCTTTGAAGGAAAGTTATGCTATCCTTGCTTACATTAAAAGAAAGAAAAAAAAAGTATATCAAGCCTTCATCAACCCTACCATTCTACATTCCTTTCTCTGTCCCTGGATACTGCCTTATTTCACCAATCTGGTTTTCTTAGTTTGGTTTCCCCCGAAAGCTGAGTCTTCAACAAGCATTTGGGTGTGCAGAGGTTATTTTGGAAGCAGTTTTCAGGGAGCAGGAGAATGGGAAAGTGAATGTAAAAGAGGGAAGGAAGGAAGGAAAACCAGTGCAGAGATGTGCTTGAGCTGGTTAGCACCATGGGCAACTGAGGCTCAGTTCCAGTAGGGGCTCTCTCCACAACCATGTAGAATGCATCTCAGAATTGTCCCTGTGACATTTTCTAGGACATTTTCCACTGACTCCCAGCTTCCCTTCGTTGAGACCTGCAAACACAGACACTGATTCCCCGACGCTGGTGGGTTATATCTGTGGTGCTGAGCAAACTTTCTAGGCATCAAAGAAAGATCTGAAGCCAAAAAAGCAGAAAGCCATCATAGTAGACACTTGAGGTGGAACTGTCTATCCCACTTGACCTTAAATCAGGTGGGAAAGTGGTGATATGCAGTGCTGGTCACCACAGATGACTGCTGCACTGGGTTACATGTACTTCTCTGTGCCTGGCCTGTGCCTTCACCTCTCCAAATTTTGCTTGTCCTGTGTTCAGTCCCATGACCACTGTACCCCCAAACACCTACTCCTTCCTCTCTGGCTATGATTATGACCAGCAATCAAAGTCCTGGTGAAATCTCACTTCTCAACAAAACCCAGGACTATTTCCAGTTAGAAGCCTCCAACTCTTAATGCCCACAGCATGAACACCACTATCTTTGGACCCTTAATTCCAATACCTAAAGGACAATTAAATCTTTACATATGTGCTTTACCTTGCCAAGTAGATCGTATATACTTGAGGACTACAGTTCTTTGCATGTATTCTACTGATCAATCCTAATTCATACGGGTGCTTTTGGCTTTCTCTAGAGGCAAAAAGGGACAAAGAGAGCAACTAATGTAGCTGGCTGCAATGACTGCTACCATCCCAAGTTAGCTCAAAAAGTCACTATAAATGAGGTTCATTTATTCTCCCAAAAGTGATGGGTCAGAACAGGCAATTCCATGTATATAAACACTTGGCATATTTACACTTCTTGAAAATCTCTAAGAATTCTCAAGCCAAAATTTTTTAAAACAAACCCTTTTGACATAGCAAAGAGGGGTCGGACTTGAAATAGTGCTAGATTCATTTACAGAAGGAATACATCTTTCTGCTAATTAAAATGTCAGGTATAAGTGGAACAGAGGCAAAGGCCAGAAAACTTCATTCTTCATAGATGAGGCTTTGCAAATGAAAGACTCTGTCAGCACAAGAAGCATGGGTATAATAGCTGGTTCTTCCCTCAGAAAGACAGTGGCATCAGGCATAACCGGAAATAGTATATGCAGCCTGATAGAGGAATGGGGTGAAGTGGCAGGGAGGGAGCCAGTCCCTCGAGCATATTAAAAGCAACCCTGGATGTGATATGGCTTGGTGGTTATATGATTTTTAATATCCTTATCAGTTAGAGGTACATACTGATATACTTATGTATAAAATACTATGAGTCTAGAGTTTGCTTTAAAATGTCAGTTAAAAAGAACCACAAAATGTTGATATTTGTTAAAAGCAGCTCATGTTTACATGGGTAAAATCTCTCTATTTTGTGTGTTTGTACATTTTCAGTATAAAATACTCTTAAAAGAGCTACATACTGGGTCAGAAAGTTGTATACAGCTGAGGTACCAAGCTGTGAGCCTCTCACTGTAGCAGCTGCTACAGCACCAATAAATAGAAAATTCATGAACCTTTATTGCTCATCGTCACTGAGGCATTGCTGCATGGAGTGAGAAGGTTCCTCTTACTGAAGGAAGGAGAGTCCCAGTGCAGCCGAAAATATGACTGCAGTCTTTGTTCTCTGCACAAACCTCTCTCAGATGCCTCCCCAGGCTCCCTCTCCCTCTCAGCATAGTTGACAGAATATCAGAGTCACAAAGCCCCTTGGTCTTTACCACACCTGCAGCTTCAAGTATCTTACTGACCACAACATTCATTTTCTCGTTGACCAATTCATGTTCATCTAATTCTACTATTTTAACACATTTCATTCCTATCCAAACACATGTACATGTCCACCGCCAACATAACACTTCCCATTCATACCATTTAAGCTACTAATGTTTTCCATGATATCATGAATATCTCCCCTACTTAGTAATAGCTGCACCCCACCACCTATTGTTTGTCATTGTACATTTATTTTCCCCTTAAAAATGAACCCACATCTACATGGGTTCAAACCCTTATCTCCAACGAGTGTGTCCTTCACTACCCAACAACCACATGAGACCCAGCCCAGTGCCAGGCTAGCTCTTAGTAAACAGTCCTCAGTTTTACTTATTGAGTTACTAACTAAACACTGGGATTTAAGCACGAAAACTTCACTCGTTCATCCAATAAACAACTGTTAAGTACTTATTATGTGCCATGTCCTTGATCTACAAAAATAAATCAATTAGGTACCAACCTTGAAAAAGGTCAAAGCCTAATAGCGGAAATAAGTGCATAAACCACTAAATGTAGTTAGATATGTAAACTAGATAGAGTGACAGCATCAGTGAATATACTCACTTTGACTTGGAGTTCGGAGGTGAGAATAGGAGGTAGAGGAGGCTTCCAAAGACAACAAAAGACTTGATTTTTGCCTTTAAATGGTGGAGTAGCAGTTTGTCGGGCATATATAAAGAACTGGAGATATAAATTATAAAAACTCTGTGTGATGCTAGAATCAATAAAGGGATGTCATAAGAGATAAGGTTGGAGGGATAAAATATGAAGGTTCTTAATGCTATAAATTTTGAGATTTATTTCACAGAAAATAAAAAGTCAATGAAAGCTTTTAAGCAGGGCTGTCAAACAATATTTGCATCTCAGAAAAATTCCCTGGTAGCAGAGTGGAGGATGACATTGAAGGCAAGGGGTGAAGCAACAGAAGCAGAGCAATGGAGGCAACGTCAGCCCTTACAGGGTGGTTGTAACTGCCCAGAGAAGAGAGATGTGGATCTGAATAAAGGAAGTGGCAGTGAAGGTAGATTGGACTGATCCATAAATGTATTTGACAGCCTGATTTAGATTTTTACCTCCCCCACCCTACCGCCCCAAAAAAAGAGCACATTTCCTCTAAGAAGTTATCCTGAGAGTTTGTCAGAGAAAATCTGGGAGCAAATGACAAATAACTACGAAACCTGAAAATATATATGCCCTGCTGAGCTTATTTTTCATTACCTAGAGACGTTCTCCCTTTCCCTCCCTTTTCCCTCCCTCTGTGAGATCGGGTTCCATGTCTGTGTTGACCTCTCAGCCATTTCTTGGTTTCTTTCTTCCTACTTATGAACTCTGACCTTTTCTACTCTTCAACTCTTCATTGATGTGGCAAAAAAAAACTCTTAGTTCTAGAATGTGTTTGGTTCTAGAGGACAATGACACAGCCTTTTGATACCCCAAAGTCAAAACTGGCTTTGACAAAAATAAAAACTTTCTGCACACTGCCCATCCATATCTTATGACATTTTTAGGGTTTGGAGAGATAGCCATTGTCTGTCTTTACATCCTTGAATGCCCACATGAGATTGAATGCCATTTAGATAAATGAGACATTTATGGTAATGCTTCATATAACAGCATATTCAATTGGCTGCTCTGGAATTTGATCATTTTCTTTCTAAAGTTAGTGGAAGTTAGTTTGGGCCAAGTACTCTGAAAACTTTGTTGAGAAATTAAGTTTCAGGGGGCACAGTCCTAGACAAGTATCAGTAGGTATAGCAAAGGTGTCTGGAACATTATACGTTTAACTAAATATGTGTTTATTAAGAACAAGCATAGGTAACACTATTCTAAGATAAATGTAGCTCTAGAAGACAGTTCATTCTCAAGAGAAACAAGCCAGGTAATTCACAAGGCAAACAACTGCAGAACCATGACTTACATGTTACTTCGCGGTATGCCAAGCAGGACTCATGCCACCACTGCCACATGGCCAACATCTGTTTTGGCAACATCACCCTTCTCTTCCTGGAGGCTTGACCACTTCCACTCCTCTCCCTACTTGTGCTCCCCAACTTCCAAGAACCAGGACACTCTTTGCAGCTCTCCTAAGCATCCACTTCAGCACTTCCCGTAGTCAGCACCTTTTCCAAACTGTATCTCACTCTAAAATTGACCTTTCCTCCTCCTCCAATTCCCTCCAAACAAGACCACTATTTCATCTTTTCAACTAGGTGTTAGAGGAAAAGCAATCAAAATGCCTGATTAAACCAATTCATACCAAAGTCTAGATAGTAGGCTTCACTTTCATCGCAGCTTTTAGAAAAAGAACCTGTTATTTCAAATGAATCACTGATTGGTGGAATGTGTGAGGGAGTTATATTTGAGGTGTGGGGAGTTCCACTTTGTCCTCATCTATTCATACTGATCCGTCTCTCTCCGATCCAATTTGTCTTCCTCACAGAGATTCCATTCTGAACTAAATGCATGTGGCAGCCTCAGTTCATCAGGTCATAAATTAAAATAAACCTCAGTAGGAAACCTGGTTTGGTTTTACATTTCTTACAATTTGGAGTTGCATTCCTTTTCTAGAGTCATATGCACACATTTGAATGTTTTCTGGTTAGGCTTCTATGGTAAAGACAAAAGTAATGTTGATTTTGTATTATATTGTTATCTTTGCCAGAAGGCAAACTACCCAGCTAGGAAGTTAATATTAGATAAAAATAGTGGTGAAGTAGTGACCACAATGTATACCCTCTTATGAGAGTAAATTAATATGGAGATCACAAATAAGTATGAGTTACATCTTTATGAAGTTACATTCTAACATCAGCAGACTGCTTATAGACAAACCTGTCTTTAAAACATCCCAAACATAACCCATAAAAAAGGGAACAAGTAGGAAGCATGCACGCATGTACGTTTCTCACTAATGCCCTTACAGTCATTTCTGCCTCTAGCTTCAGTTCAGGTTGCTGTTTCTTCAGTTGTACACCAAATGAAATCATGGTTTACATTAGGTGGCTACACTGTAAGTAAAATAAGTTTCTTTTCACACTAAACATAGAGTGGAATCCCCTTAAGTTAAATGCCTAGACAGAGAGAGTCCACTGATTTGCCTTTCTTTCGAAGAGCTCAAATTCTATCCTCAGGTTGTCTCTGAACTAGACAATCACAGCACTAAGGTATAAATAAACTGAAGAGACTGTCCCTTGTGCATGATGTGACAGAACTTGGCTCTCTGACTAGGTGTGTTGAGTCCCAAACCTGTGCTACATCCCTGCTACAAAACCTGAAAAGCAAGCCTAAAATTCACAACAGGCCCCTGGATAATCAAACTGTGGATATAACACCATGTCCCACGACCTTATCACTCAGCAACTATGTAATGAGTTTCTTCTCTGTGCCAGGTATTCGCTAGGCTCAGTGACACAAAGGTGAACAATGACATGGAGTCCCTGCCTTCTTGCCCAGGCTCACAATGACATAAAAGGTAGTCACAATACAGAGTTATGACAGAGAGACAGGCTGAAGGTCAAGGGCACACAGGGCAGAAGCACCTAACCCACCTAAGAGTGAGGGCATGGAAACATCAGGAAAAACTTCTTGGAGAAGGAGATGTCTGGGATAAGATATTTCATTTTTTATTCATGGTTTTTTATTTTTTTAACTTTGTATTTTTTATGTAATTTCAGGCCTCCAAAAAAAGTTGCATGAATAATACAAATAATTCTTATAAACCATTCATCTTATGCCCTCATATATTTTATATATATATATATATATATATATATATATATATGCAAACATACATTTTTAAACATTTAAGAATAACTTTCAGAGATCGTCCCTTTTACTCTTAAATATTCCAGTGTATGTTTTCTAAGATCAA